AAATCATATGCATTCTTTGTAACGAGATCCAAAGGCTGTAGAAACTAGAAATCTTCATCCATATCTGTACTATTTTGCATTTCTTATTTATTATTGATTAGTTTAGAGTTATCAAAAGAGTTAAACCTCAAATACAAAAATCAGAATATCAAAATGTTTGCATAACATTGCTCATTTTGTTTCTAGTTCAAGATAACGAATACCCTTTTGCACAAAGGTAACAAGAGCACCAGGAGGAAGTAGAATTCCTTCCATTGTACTCTTATGTGAGAATTGTTATATTCCCTTTGTGCACTAGGAGGAAGTAAATTTTCATCCTCTCGGTGCTCTTGTTACCTTTGTGCCAAAGGGTATTCAATATCTTGAACTAGAAACAAATTGGAGTAATGTAATGCAACTATTTTGATATTCTGATTTTTGTATCTGAAGTTTAGATCTTTTGATAATTTTGAACTAACCAATAATAACCAAAGAATGCAGAATGAAACCGATATGGATGAAGACTTCAAGTTTCTACAACCTTTGGATCTCATTACAAAGAATGTGTATGAGCTGCAAATTATAATAAAAGAGAAAAACTAAACTTCAGAAAGATGAGCCTAGGCTGAAGGATAAGGCAAATGATGACAATGAGAGGGACTACAAATGAGAACCTGCGAGAAAATAGGAGAAACAACATAAGGAAAAATAATGTGAACGGGATAAAGAAAGGAGTGCAAACAACAACTTAAGTTATGTCTTGAGTCAAGCACCATTCTAGTCTCCGCACATTCCACTTATGGGATAACATTGGGTATGTTATTATTGTAGGGGTTAATAGTCCTTTTGCCCTTTTTGGTCATATTCTATGATGATAAACAGTTAGATTCCTTATTCAAATTAGGAGATTCTTTAATGATCAACAATTAAGACAATCCAATTTCTCTGTAGTCATTCTTTTTAATCACTGAAATATATTCCATTCACAATTGTTGCATTCTTGATAGACGTAATCAATGAAATTTTTCAAGAAATATTAGGAAGTTTGGAAGAATAGGAATTCTTACGTTTCTAGTAGCCTATTTGGCTAGACTCTTCTGTTAGGCTAAAAGCACAAAAAGGCACTCCTTTTTACATTCTAGGTGTTGGGCCAAAAAAAGAAGTCGTTTTGAGCACATACAACACAAAACACAGATTGTTTTTCTCCAAAAGTACTTTTTTTTTATAAATGATTTGATTTGAAGTGCATAAGTTATTTGCGTACTTAACCACAAGAGACTATTTTGATAAACCCTTGGCTCAGAGAAAGCTTAAGCACTAAAATTGTTTCAGAAAAATGCTAACTTGGCCAACTTAAACTCATCTAAAAACAACAACATACTCAAACCTTACCCGTACCTTGTGCAGATAGAAAATCTTGTTTCCAGACACACTCTTGAATCAAGTAAAGGATATCAAAGTAGTTAAACTCATCAAATAGAAACACAACATCAAATTCTCCACATAAAAATCTATTAGAACTATGAACAACGATTTGAACCCTAAAAGATAGTACAAAGGAACAAATTAGGAAGAGGAAAATTGATTTAATTACCTGATTCATGTAGATGTAGGTCATCAGAGGTTGTTGTGGATTGTCAGTGGCCAAAAGTAAACCCTAGGGATTACTTCTACCTATGAATATATATAGAGGGAAGATATGGTAAGTGAGAATTTTTGGACACAAACATTTATTTATCATACTTAGAATATTAGAAAAGTTTTCATTCCAAGAAGGCATTTTGAATAAGTTTTACTGTTGAATGACAAAACTATCCTCAAGGCTTTAGCTATATCAATTTGAGCTCAATTTTATCTAAAATGTAGAAGACAGATTCAGAATTTAAACAACAAGTTTAAATTTGGTAGTACAGCACAAGACATTTAATGTAATGGATTTGAAATTTATTTGTTAAAAAATTGTTAATTAATTAGTATGGGTCGTGGATGCATCCCAGAATCCATATTGATAGAACAAAAATGTCTTTTACATGCAATGTTTACAATTAATATTTTATATTCGATATTTGATATTCATTTACGAGACCTAAATCACAATTTTTAGGAAGTTACATTTTTTCAAGAAGTAAATTCAAATTTTATTAGTATGTACTTTTTTTAAAAATTCATTTTAATTTGTTGGTGTTTTATGCCTTGAAGTTACAATACTTTAATCTTAATTTTTTAGAAGTTACATTTTACTAAGACATAAATCCTAATTCGTTTAGTAAGTATATTTTTTTTTCAAGTTTATTTTTTTGGTGTTTTAGGTCTTGAAGTTACAATGCATAAACCCTAATTTGTTAGAAGTTATATTTTTTCAAGACTTGAACCCTAATTTTATTAGTGCGTATATTTTCTTCAAGTTCATTGTATTGATGTTTTAGGTCTTACAGTTAAAAAAGATCTAAACCATAAATTTTTAGAAGTTACATTTTTTCAAGACCTACACTCTATTTTTATTAGTACGTACTTTTTGAAGTTCATTTTAATTTTTTTCGGTGTTTTTGGTCTTGAAATCGTTACAATACCTAAATCCTAATTTATAAAAAGTTATAATGTTCTAAACCTAATCACTAATTCTATTAGTACGTACATTTTTCAAGACCTAATCCCGAATTTTATCAGTACGTATATTTTTTAATATTTAATTGTTGAAGAGTTTCACATTGGATGAAATAGGGATAAGTGGTTTCCTTATATGGCCTTCGAATATCTACTTCTTATGAGCTTACTTTTAAGATTGAGTTAGGCTCAAAATCCATTTATTACCATAATGTCAGTACTGGATCATTTTAGGAACAATGTGTAATTTTGTGATCATGAGAAGAAATATATGCTCCATGTGTTAATTTTTGCATGCTCCATGTGTTAAATCCTTATCGATTTTAAGTTCTATATATTGAAGATATGTCGAAGGTAGAAATATGTATACAATCAGATTACTTGTAAGATAATTACAAGTGATCTATGTAATACTGTTTTGAATTTGGTCAAAATATGATTAGTATATTATCATCAGTATGTATGACTTGATTAAATACTTATCGAGGAAAGTAAAAGAAAAATAAAATAAAAAGATTGGATATATAACTGGTATATGGGATCATATTTTAATCTAATATCTTCATTATTTTCATCTATAAAGTGTAATATATTTCATCTTAGTATAATTATTTACTACAGTAGTAATTAGGGGTATTCATGGTTCAATTTGAATTGGTTATTGGTGAAAATCAAACCAATTTAGTTGGTTTTTAAATTTCTAAAACGAAACCAAATCAAACGAAAAAAATAACTATCGATTTGGTTATTGTCGATCTAGTTCGGGATTTTAGGTTCTTTCACTTTGAAAGTAATAATTTTTTTAGGATATAGATATCTCGATAAACACACACCTAATACATGAACAATCCAGAAGAAAGTTACTACCGATTCAATCAAACAGTTAAGCAACACTAGAGTTATTATTACACGAACAAAGTGATTCAATTAAGAGACAATGTTATTATCTTATGTGAGGTAGGGTGGATAAAGACTAAAGTAATGAATTTCGATGGGCTTGGACTTAGGGTTGTAATAGTTGGACTAAAATATAAGTATTTGGCTAGACGAAAGGAGTAAATTTAATAGAGAAAATAACGCGAATAAGCAAACATATACTAGTTCAATAGTTAACATAGCTACAGTTTGAATTAATTATCATTCATCACTAACTTATAGGCATAATTACGTAGCCACATCTGAGTTGTAATACATGTAGTTTTCATAATTTTTATAATATAATCGTCTAACTTTTATATAATATAATTTGTATAACTTTTTAAAGTTCAGATGTTTGTGGTCGTATAAATTCTAACAATTTTTTGAATTTTATCATGTTTGTATATTTCTGAAATTTGTACTACTCCAAAAACAGATCCAATTTTAGATCTACAGGTGTATCTATATTTGTATAAATATGTAATTATATATAGTTATTCTAATTGTATATTTTTATAATTTACTTATACAAAATATACAATTACAAAAGTGTACCAACATAATTATTATTATACAAAATATATTAGTACAAATTAGTTGTTGCTACTCCGTTTATATAACCACAGACGTAAATAGCTCATTTATACAAACGCTTATTCCACAAAAACTACAATTATCAATCAAAAATAATTTATACAAAAATAAATACAAATCAATTGATACTAACCAGTTTATACAAATACGGATGAAAATAACTCAATTATATAACAAAACGCAAATTTTATAGACTAGATTATTCATAACAAATGAAATTATAGCTACGATACGTAATTATGCAAACTGTACATAAGGAGACTATTAAGTTTCCTATAGTAGCTATTTGTGAAAATTTCACAATAATAAATAACATATTTAATAATAAAGTTAAAGACTTAAGTTAACTAACATTAAATAAAATATAATATTTTATTTATAAATAATATATAAATTTTTTTTATAAATTTTATATATATAATTTCCCGATCCGATTTTGTTATTTTTGCGGTTTTTTCAGTAAAATCAAAACTAAACTAAATAGTATCGATTTTCAAAATTTAAAATCATACCTAACAAAATCAAACTATATAACAATTTTTTAATCAGATTGGATTGGATTGCAATTCGAATTGATTTTTCACCATAACCATGGTGGTGGTGGTGGTAGTAATAATAATAATATATTCAGTGCAATTATATAAATAGATCAAGAGAGGATAGAAATACACAAATCCTATTGTTATTTTTGTAGGATAGAGAAATTTTTTCTGATAAACTCGTGACTAAAAAAAATAAGATAGAAAAACATGATATAAAGCAAATGGAGCGGCATATCGTACTAAACGTCTAAAAACAAAGAAATGAAAAAAATAGAGAAACACAACATACAAACACAACATACTTTAAGTTATTTCAATCAACCATAGGTTTTCTTATTTATTCTTTTAAGTTTTTAATCGCTCTTTTATTACTAACATAGATAAACAAAAAGAAGAAGAAGCCCCTATCTCTCCTTATAAAACCTTTTTATGTGCTAAAACCCCTGTTCTAAAATCCTAACCCCAAATTTCGACTTGCTTTTCCTTCTAAAACCCCCATTCTGTTATAAAACCCCAACCCCAAATATCAACTTTCTTATTTTATTAGTTATTTAAAGTTACTTATAAAAATTGTTTAAAATATTTTATGGTGTGAGAGACACACATATACAATACTTGTGTGAGGTCTCTCATTCTTCGCCAAGTAGATTTTAGGTCTCACTAGTAAAAATTTTTTAGCTAAAGGTTATATAACGACCCAATCAGATCCTCAATTGTTCTATAGTGGTCCAATCAAACCCCCAATTCCGCTATAGAGCCCAATCCTAATAATTATTTATTACTATAGTAGAAACTGAGAGAGCTTCGGTCGTCGTTGAAACTGACGGCACCGATTTCTTCCGTCGTCTAGGGTATTGCTCCTCATCACTCTTTGATGGCGTCTCCTTCTCCTCATCTTAGAAGAATTGAAGTTGGTTCAAGTCCAACCTTCAAGGGTCTTGCTCCTCTTCAGTCTCCGGTGGTGTCTCCTCCTCCTCATCTCAGAAGAATTGAAGTTGGTTCAAGCCCTGCAACTGCGGCCAGTGAGGTTAATGAAAAATGGTGGAAAAGGATGAAACATATGGCTCGTTTAGTGGGCACTGCTCTTGTTAATGCTATAGTTGCCGATGATATCAAATGTTTGACTAAAGTGATTTTTTCTTCATTGATACCGGTAGAGTATATATATACTTTGAAGGTATCAAGTATAAATTTAGCTAAAATTGATACAATTAGGGTATATTTATACTTGATACCACTAGGGTATATATATAACCTAATGGTATCAAGGGGTGGATGTTCGGTTCTTCGGTTCGGTTTTATCAAACTTCGATTCGATTCTTCGATTTTAGGTTTTAGAAAAGTGTGTACCGTATACCAAACCAAACTATTTTGGTTCGTTTTGAATCTTTCTACTTCGGTTCGGTTTAGTTCGGTGTTTTGAAATCGGTTCTTCAGTGTGAATGAAAAATAAAATGAGGACAAAATCAAAATATAAGATACTTAAAAATTTAAAAGTATGTTAAGAAATATTGTGTCTCACCATGGAACACTTATTGTGCTAACTTAAAAGATTATATTTATTTTTGTCAAGAACATTGTGCATCCAACTAATTCTCGAGAAAAACAAGGACGAAGACGGATTCTTTTACATTACGTAGATTGATAAAAAATATGTTTTGGTTCCTCTTGGAAATTAATATTTGAATTGTACATTTCTTGCTACTTTGATTTGTTCATATATGATTTTATTGTTAGTTGACTCTTTATTTTTAGTTAAGAAAATTCTCATATATATATATATATATATATAAAAGTTCAGTTCGGTGCACCGAAGTTCTGAGACCCTAACACCGAATCGAAGAACCAAACTTTTGAAAAAATAACACCAACACCAAACCGAAACTGAAGAACCGAATCAGTTCAGTTCGGTTTTTCGGTATTTATGCCCACCCCTAGTATCAAGGAGTAATTGAGTAGTATTTTCACTGAATCGCTCTTTGATACCACCAGAGTGTATATATACTTTGATGGTATCAAGGAGTAACTTAGTAGTGTTTTCACTGAAGTGACTTTTTCTTTCTAGATACCACCAGAGTGTGTGTATATATATATATACACTCCGATGATATCAAAGATCAAATGGTTATTAAACCTAAAAAGATGAATTTATTTATAGGTTGGAAAACGCAGCAAAATTCTGGTCTACAGGTCCGCGAAGCGAAGTCAAGGAAGACTCACCTATTTTGCATTTTATCCCGATCCACGATAGCTCCGCGACAGGGAGCCTTTTCGGAGGCCTTTGGTTCCAATTTATTTTCGTGGCCATATTTTTCTTCTCAAATTATTCGTGACACGGAGAGAAAGTGGAGTTGAGTTCCTTCTTCAGCTCTCCTTGTGACATGCACACTTGTTCTGACTTCATCCTCAATTTGGTTATCCAATGCACATGCTTTCCAACCTACAACACTAAACAATTTGGTTAGCCAAAATAACATAAACAAGACTTAATAACTACAAACACAACGAAACTTATTCTCAAATTTAGTTAAAACATGGGTTCACTTGGCTTTTAAACATACAAATATGCCCAAGATCTTACAATAGCTAATTCACAAAGTATAACTTAACAAATTTTGGAAAAGAGTTGAGTCCAAAAGTCCACAAAAAGAACACTCCCCTTCAATTAATAAGAACTCTATTTTATAACTAACTTTTATGCACTCTATATTTTCTTGTATAAAAAACAATGGAAAACCACCACTACTTATAGGTGAGGAAGTCTTCCTTACAATGAATAAAGATAATGGAGAAGTAAATCGAGAAGATAAATAGCCTAAAGATTACATAAGTTAAAAGGTATAATGGAAGAATAAAGAGTGAAGTAATGTGGACAACCAAATGCCACTAACGTTAAAATGCAATTGCTGCACAACTCAACGGAAAACACTACTGTACAATTGAATGTTCAAAGTAATGCACAAAAAATGAGATACAAACACTAACTGCCAAGGAATGATGCACTAATCTGATCCCTGTCATCCCTAAAAAACATTTTATAATATTAAAATTCTATAAGAAAAACAATAATTTCGTACTCATGTTAATATTAAATAAGAGTTTATCAACTGAAGGAAGACTACTATGCATAATGAACGCGTGCTCTGCTGTGACACCCTGAAAATTTCTTATAAGCTAAGACTCGAATCATTTTGTAAAACCTTGCAACTCTACTCTTAAAAGCTGAATCGTTCATCATAAGAATATGAGCTTGAACTAGGTGATGTACTACTTGTTCATATGTAGTAAGGTCCATTGCCAAGTTTGTCAAGGGTATCGAGAGTTATCTAGGGTCATAAGGAACCTCAAACACCAAGCCAAGTTCAAAGCATTTCTATCGGCTATGTTCTCGCATGAGTTCATATAAAGGTCAACTTCAAACTGTCAACATATAAAGAGTGAGGTGGCCCATGATAAGTTTTATTAGTCCTTTTTCCAACGCCATCAAGTTTGCATCAATCAGACTTTGGAGGTTATTTTATTGGACTATGTGCAGGCAATGGCGTAGCCACATGGTGGTTAGGGTGTCCACTTCACCGGAAAAAAATATCTTATATACAAGTAAAATGATACACGAAATGATTAAATAACATATTTTGGACACCCTTTAACACAACAAGTTGTAGCCCACTAGTTTCACCTCCTTGGAATGAGGACGTGCTTGGTGTGTTTGAACCCACTAGTTCTACTTTTTGAAAAGTGCTTTTACTGTGTTATTTTTGGACACCCTTTGTGAAATTCTTGGCTCTGCCACTATGTGCGGGCTAAGAAATTCGGCGAGGACACCATCCCATTTGGCAACTCACTGAATGATTTGATGAATCGCCAAATTAGCTCGCTGAAATAGCCTTAAAACATCGAGTCTCTAGATATTTTGGCGATCTAAAGGCCCATTTGGCTAATCGCCAAATATTTCAATGGGGGACCTCGAGATCACCAATTTGGCAGACGAGATCCATTAAAATGTCATTCTCTTTGATTTATATGGTCTTCTTATGTTTCCAGAAGGGTATTCTTGACCTTTTACCCTGAAATAACTTTTCTAAGTCCATATTGTAACCTAATATCATTATACGTATAGAAATTCTCAACATCCCTAATTCTCCTTCTTCTAAAGATCAAGAACTCCAAGAAAGGGATTTCTCCAATTTTCCAAGATCTAAAGGCTCCAAGTTCAAGATTCTCTTCAAGATACCTAAGGTTTTCAATTCAAGATTCTTCTACACACTTCATCTGTCAAGATTTTTCTTCAAGAATCGTCATTAAGGTATGTAAGACTACTCATAGTGATGGACTATGTTTTTCCTCACACCCTACATCTAAATCCATTCAGTAAAATATTATGTTTAGGGTTCTACACATAGTCTCTTGAAATCGAAATTCGGTTTGTGTTTTCTTTTCTTGAGTTCCGATTTCTTAATCATTTAGATTTCGATTCTCTTATGAATATTGATTCTTAAACAGTTGTTCATAATTTCATTATTACATGAGCCCTATTTATTGAAGTCATATTTTTAAAAGGTTCCTATATGAGTTTTTCTTATACATTAATTTCGGACTTGGAAAGAGAGTCCATGAGCATTTAAATGCATGATTTGAAATGGGATTTTAAAACGACATAAATGGTTTCATATATTCTATTTGGAAATTGAGAAAAAATAGCATAATTGATTTTTTGAAAATCATTTCAGTAAAGGAAAGTGAAATAAAGGCCAGTTCCTAAACAAGGCTATTGAGCATAATTAATATTGATTATTCTGGGATAGTATCTAGCACCGAATTGAGTAAGAGTTCATTTTAACTAAAAGCCTCATAAACTACGTAGTCAACGTATAAGATAGGATCGTATCGAATTTCGGGTGACTCCTCACTTCCTCTCTGTAAGACATATTGGATGGATCCATAGATTATAGTTGTTATCCTATACCCGGCAAGGTATATGATGACTTTGGCAATGTGGGCAGGACGTTGTATCATTACTAGGCTCATAGTTATAATATTTTGTTAGAGGAACTCCCCAAAAAAGTATATTATATTATTTTAATGTTGTTTCTATTGCATGTCTTATATTGTAAAACTTAAATGATTTTACCTCATGTTCAAGCTACACTTTCAATCAGGTTACTTTCAATCTCTTTCAGTTCAGTTATTTGTTTTATTCAGCCCTATTACACACCATACATTTAATGTGCTGATGTCATTCGACTTGCATCATTTCATGATACAGATTCAGGTATTTAGGATCATCAACAAGCATTGCGTTGAGATTACCACATCCTCTCATCAGATTTTTGTGAGACCTCCTTGCTTTTGTAGGACTCCAGCTTATTATTTAGTTTTAGTAGTACTTTGAGGTGTCGTGCATGTTTTCCCATCACCTATCTTTAGATAGTAGAGGCTTCATCGATAGGAAGTAAGATAGTTACAATACTTACTCAGATGTTTTTGCTAAACGTTTACTATTTATATTAAGTATTTTCAGATAATGGTTTTATGTTCTTTAAATGTTTTGAAATTCTCATCTATTAAAGCTTCTGCATATTCTATAAAGCCATATGTACCATAGTTAATAAGGCCAAAGGTTCGATTGGGACTAGCAATCGTTACGAGTGTCGGCCATATCCAGGGTGTAGGCTCAGCGGAAAAAATATACATTGAACCTTCACTTAGTAAAACAATAATTTTTACTCCTAAGTCATAATGGTGTCAGACTTAAACTATGACTGTTTAAGGAAAATAAAATATGACTAGTTACACATAATAATCAAGGTGTTGGCATGAGCTTTAAAAATCAGCACATTACGGCCTTGTGCTATCGTGATTTTATGAGTGCTTTTGAGAATTAGCCAAATTCTTATAGGAAACAACCTACTTCCTTACTCAGATAGATGAAATCTTTCGAGAGTGCTCCTGTAAGTTTAAAACTCCACCCATATGGGCTATATATTTTTCATTAAGAGTTTTTAAACTCAACCTCCCTAATTTACTACAAAAAAACAATGCACTCACATCATAGAGGGGAATAGAAATAGTGCATTTTTCACAACAAGTCAGCATATGATTCGTTTAATTTTCTCATTGTACCTGGTTATAGGAACTCTAGTCCCTAGGTTGGGTTTCCTCATATATGACTCAATGATATATAGACTTCAATCTCATCCCCCTCGATATGCTCTAGACCTTTTCTCCTATTAAAGCCTTAGTAAGATGATCTGCAAGATTTTCCCAAGATTTGACATGATAAACATTAATGGTATCACTTGCCAAATATGATCTCACATTACTATGTTTCCTCCTTATAGGTTTGGATATATTGTTGTAATAACGATTTTGAACTCTACTAATTGCAGCAGTGTTATAACAATAAGTTAAAATACGAGGAATTAATTTTCAAAAGAAGGTATTTGAAATAATTAATAAATCTCTCAACCAATTTGCTTCCTCACTAGCTCAAGCTAAAATAATTACTTCAGCCTCTATAGTAGAGTTAACAATTATTGCTTTCTTTTTTGATTTCCAACAAATAGCACCACCACCCAAAGTAAAAATGTAACTAGTGGTAGAAGAGGAATCACGTGATAAAGTTTTCAATATGCTTCAGAAAGCCTTCAAGTACAACATTATCTTTTTATAGAACAAATTACAAGTTTTTGTCTCAATTAAATATTTCACAACTCTTGTTATAGCATGTCAATGTTCATTATCTAGCTTTCTTGTGAACTTGCTAAGTACTCCTACTGTATATACAATATTATGCCTAATACAATAAATCACATATTTCAAACTTTAAATTAAGCAAGCATATTCCTTTTGATTTATCACATCATTTTTACTTTGAACAAAAAATAAATGAACACTAGAATAAAAAGAAGTTACAACATGCTTGCAATCAAGAAAGTTATATTTTTTTCAAAATTTCTCAACATAATATGATTGGTCAAAGAAAGTTTCATCACATGTTCTTGTAAGTTTACACATTTTGCTTTCTTGGTCTACTTTAACAAGTTAAATCACTCGGTTGATCCATATAAATTTTCTCATTTGGGCCTCTATTTTAAAAAAAATAATAGTTTTTACATCCATTTGATGAATATGCAAATAAAAAATTGCATCCATAAAAATTAGAAATTTAATGGATGTAATTCTAATTATCAAAGAAAAAGTATCAAAAAATTAAAGGCCTTGTAGTTCCTTAAAACATTTAGCAACTAGTCTAGCCTTATATTTATCAATAGAACCATTCTATTTCAAAAAAAAATCGTAAGACCCATTTGCAATCAATTATTTTACAACCCGGTTGTAAACCAACTAATTTCCATGTTTTATTAGAAATTAGTGATTTCATTTCCTCATTTACAACCTCTTTTCAAAAAAATAAATAAATAGAATCATGTAAAGATAAAACTTCTTGTAAAATAGGAGGTTCATCTCTAACATTAAAAACATAAAAATCAGGACAAAAATATTTTTCTACTCTACCTCTTTTACTTCTTCTTAACTCAAAATCATCAATATTTTATGTCACAAAGTAGACGTAGAACAAGGTAGTGACAAAATATTTTGTTCAATCCTCTGACCTCCAACTATTTTTAGAATCAAAAGGGAATTTGTTTTTATGAAAAATAGTCTCACCACATTCTATTATAATATTATCTTCAAGATTAAAAAAATCTATAGACTCTACTATTTGAAGCATAACAAGAAAAACACAAGTAGTAACTTTCCAAACTCTTAAATATCTCAAACTTGGCTTGTGACCTTTTCGCTACACCATTTCATATAGGAGAATAAGGATTAAACTCATTTGACTCATATTCACGGCCTCTATCGTGACTTCTAGTTCTCTTTATTTTTCTTTCAAATTGATTTTTAACCTCATGGATAAGTTTTAAAATTTTCAAAAGCATTACTTTTATTTTTCATCAAGTAAACATATGTTAATTATCTCAAAAAAAAAAAGTAAACATATGTTAACTTAGAAAAATCATCAATGAAAGTGATGAGTATCTATTTCCTCCACGAATTAAAATTTCTCCAAGTTCACAAATATCGGTGTGAACTTATGATTCTAATAAATCAGCTTTTCTTTCAACTTGAAAATGTAGTCTCTTAGTGATCTTGGCTTTACTACAAGCTTCACACTTTTCAAAATTCTTTCTAATCATTGGGATTAATCTTAAACTAATCATGATTCCAAAATAATGATCATTAATATGACACAAATGAGCATACCAAAAATTAGTAGAAGAGAGTATGTAAATAAAAGTAAAAACTTTATTCATTTCAACATTCAACTTGAACATCTTATCACTAGCATACCCCTTTTCCACAAAATAGCCTTTTTACAATTATATATTGATAGTTAAATAATTTGTTTGAAACCTTTTTTATTAAGAAGAAAATTAGACATCAATTTTTTTTTTCTTATGGAAGGAGTATAAAGTACATCTTTCAAAGTCAATACCCTTTCATAGGTAAAACACAATTCGACATCTTCTGTTTCAAGCACTTGAATAGTATGAGAATCACCAAGCATGATGATTTTGGGTTCCTCGAAAGGAGAATATTTTTTAAATCAATCTCTGACGTCATGACAGACATGACAGTTTTCACCAGAATCAACTTATCGTAGACAATGCACGGTCCCTTGTCTTGAACTTGTTGATTTTGTTCTTGGTTATTTGTACCATTATTTTTCTTTTTAAGAGATCGGCGATTGTTTTTCTTGAAATTTTTCTTCTTAGGCTTTATAGAAGTATTTTTGTGAGATTTAGGAGTAGAGTTATTTGAACTTATTAAATTTACCTCATTGTAATATTACTCTCTTCTAATTGTAAAAGTGTATCTTGGCCCCTTGCCTCCTCTTCCATGAAGATTCACATTATCAATTACTCATGAGAGGTTTTCTTTTGTTTGTGGCGCATAGGTTTTTGAAATTCCTTCCAAGAAGGTGGACGTTTATCTATTATGCCACAAACAATAAGGTTATCTCCAATTTTGATCTCCTCGGACCGGAGCTCTTCAACAATCATCATAAAGTCTTGAGCTTGGTCAACCATTGATTTGTTGTCCACTATTTGAAAATGAAAAAATCTACTAGCTACATATTTTTTCGCTCCAGCTTCTTCAGTATCATACTTACTATGCAATATTCTCCAAATTTTCTTTGCATTAGAGTAAGTTCAATTATAATAATCATAAAAGTTATCAAATATAATAGACAAGTAAGAATGTAATACCGACACTTGTAGGAATCACCATCGTACTTTTCCACTTCTCTAGATGAGAAATAAGTTCATCATCATTCATAGAGGTGTTGTCAACTTTACTAGGATTCTTCTTAGTTAGCACATAAGAAACATTGAGTAGATATAAGTAGAAAAGTATTTTACTCCTCCATCTCTTGAAATGTTTACCATTAAATTGGTCCAACTGTAGTATTCTTCACTTTTCCTCTATAAAACACAACAACCGATTTACAAAGTATAACTCAACAAACTCTGAACAAGAGTTGAGTCCAAAGCTCCACAAAAAGACCATTTCCCTTCAACTAATAAGAACTATCTTCTATTTTGAATATTTATTTTTTTACTGAGTAGGTTCTCTTCCATTTTGAATCCAGGAAACTTGTTTACTTTGTTGCATTCAGTCCAAACAGTGAATACTTGGTAAGTGGGTCATTGGATAAATGCATGAATATATGATCAGTGAAGGAGGCCAAGATTGTAAAACTTATAATGGTGATGCCAATATTTCAAAGTGTATTGGAACAAGGAAGGCAACAATGTGGCACCTTCTTTTGCAAACAACAAGGTTTGTGTGTTTGATATTTGATTGTAGAGGTTGAGAAATAGCTTTAAAAGTACTTGGCAACACAGAGGAGGCAGGAATTTCACAATTCAAGAAACTCTCTCGTGCAGAAATGCAGATTGTAGATAAGCTTTTTTGATTTGTCACTCGGTGTCCGGTTTACCCATATTGGGGCTACTAAATCATTAGGGTACCACAACCCTAAGTTTAAATCAAAGTCATAATGATATAGTCGGCCCCAACGTGGGTAAACTGAACATCGAGTGACAAATTAAAAAAAACTTATCTACAATATGCGTTTCTGCAAGGCAGAGTTTCTGGAATTGTGAAATCCGTGCCTTAGTGTTCCTAAGTCCTTTTAAAGTTATTCCTCAACCTCCACAATCGAATATCAAACACACAAACCTTGTTGTTTGCAAAAGAAGGTGCCACATTGTTGCCTTCCTTGTTCCAATACACTTTGAAATATTGGCATCACCATTATAAGTTTTACAATCTTGGCCTCCTTCACTGATCATATATTCATGCATTTATCCAATGACCCACTTACCAAGTATTCACTGTTTGGACTGAATGCAACAAAGTAAACAAGTTTCCTGGATTCAAAATGGAAGAGATTGTTCCCTTCCTTTCTCCAACACACTTCAAAAATACCGCCATCACCATTGTAAGTTTTTATAATCTTGGCCTCCTTCATTAACCATATATTCATACATTTATCCAATGACCTACTTGCTAAGTATTCATCATTCAGACTAAATATAACAGAGTAAAGAGGTTTCCTAGATTCAATATGGAAGAGAACCTAATCGGTAAAAAAACAAAAAAATTCAACAAGAAGGATACGAAGATTTGATGATCTGATAGAAAGATACCCAGTTACCTCATTCTCAGTCCACTCTCTCCCCTCCCCATACGTCCCCACCCAAATAAATGGAATAGGTATATAGGTATTGATAGTAGTGTTTTGGACGGCGAAAGGCGACAAGGCTCGACGAGGCACCCGTCCTTTGAATACATAGATATCCAAAATATTTGAATATATAGATATTCAAAATTTCAAATAGCAATAACATATTAGCAAACATTAAGTCAAAACTAACCGTATAATTACTATAAAACTAAATTGAGTTGGGAAGAAATAAATATCGAAGGACTAGAATATTTTCTTAAAGAAAACAATAGCCATATTGCAATAGTCTGCAGAAATTAAATAACAGAGCAAAAAAAAAACAAAGACTGTGCACACTGCTGACTGCACATTAAAGAAGAAGAAAACAATTGCTAAAAATGTAGCTGCTAAAGGTCACGAAGCAGAGGAGACAGAAGAACTGAAGAAGAAGGGAGAAAACGTACCTGCTGGAGGTCACGAAGCTGGAGAAGAGAGTCACTACTACGAACTCGAGGGAAAAAAAGGGAAAGCAGAGCTGGGTTTGTCCAAAACTCCAAATAAATCGTAATGCTACCTTTTAATTATTAATTCAGGCCATTTAAAAAAAAATAAAGGTGACGCCTTTATTGGCTCACCTCACCTCCCACTTGCCTTTGCTCGCCATTTTGAGGTCGCCTCACCTTGCCAGTAATGGGCGTAAAGGCTGCGCCTCACCTCGCCATTCGCCAAAGGCGATCGCCTTTGAGAAAATTGATTGATAGTTCAACTGAGTACAAGTAAACAAACCACATATAAGACGATAGCCTTTGAGAATACTGATTTATTAAGAATGCCCACTACAAAAAATAGTTGATTTTGCGGAGGTTTAATGGGGGAGGTTACTAGAACTTCCTCAAAGTTATATCAAATTCCGGAGTTTTTCTGGACGCCGCTATTTTTTAATTATACTTGCGGGGGATCTTATCCAAATTATCCTTGAAAAAAAGAGTGTTACTTCCCAAATCCCAATTTTCCCTTTAATTAACTTTTTAGTCATTCCCCTCAATTTTTTCCCCAAACCCCTTTCCCATTCTCTCACGGTGCAGGAATCGAAGTGTGTGGTATCAATCGCCTTCGCCGGAGCTATCGCCATCAAATTCATTGTCTTCGCTTCCACTACAAACTTCTCTATCACCACCTTTAACATCGTCGTCTACACCATCATGTACCGTAAAAATCCATTTCCCTCATTGATTTTCAACGTCTGTTTCGATGCCACAAATTTTTCGTTGATTGTGATCGAACTCACTCTGATGAACGTTGGACGGGTAATCAATAATTTTGAAGCATCAATTTCCGGAAAGAGGTAGTAAAGCTCAGCTGTGTTGAAAAATGAACTCGTTTGAAAAAAAATGTTTTTTTATAGAAAAACAATGAAGTTTTGGCTCGATTGTTGAAGTGGAGATGGAGAAGAGGTCAAAATTAGAGGATTTTGATTTCTTCAAGTTGTGATTTACTGGATTAAGGTACGATTATGATTTCTCACTGGTCATCTTCCGCCTCATTCTTTGATTTTGCTTTCAAATTGTGACTGACACTTTCTTTCATTTTATTAGACATAATGAGTTTACATCCATTACATGTTACCATTCAAACTATGAAGAAGACTCCCTCGTTCAACATGCCATACCTTCACAGTAGAGTTAAATGAACCACTACACAGACAAACAATAAAACAAAACCAGTAAGCTCATAGAACTAAAAGGTTAGGTGCAATAATTAGATCCCTTTTTGGGCTCATCGCACACCAAGAATCCATTTGATGGATGGTTAAAGTGAAATTGTATCTCTCTGGAATATTTTTACTCGAAAGGGATTACAGGCCAGATTGCTGTCATTCCAAAATTTGCAACTCAACTCTTGGGGTTTTAAAGTTCGTTGGGACTTTTAGAGCAAAGCGCAAATGGAGAAAAAAAAACAAATATATGTGTGTAGTTCTTAACTAATAATTGTAAGTATGATTATTTCCACAAGGTTAGATGCATGCTTATTTGTAATATTCGTCCGTTAAATTTTTCCTGGCCTACTTTCCCCCTTATGTATGAACATTCAGTGAGGCGAAGCACTCGCCACATTCTTAGCCTTGTTTCAGGGCTTAAGTGCACCTTTGTCAATAGTGTACCAGAAAAAGAAGAAAAAACTAAAGAGGCAAGTCAGGCCCAATGCACCCAAGGCCATAAACTAGGGAGCAATGAAATGAGAGAATATAATGGAGACTAGAGTTCAAATCCTAAAAAGGACAAAAAGCTTTAGGTGATTTCTTCCTAGATGCCTAAACATTTATAGGCCTAGTGTGGAAGGCAAATCAGTCAGGTGAGGGATGGCATTCCCATTAATCTTTATTTCCCCCCTTTGTTGTTCTTTTGGGATGTCTATGTGTGTTTGGGTGGGGTGGGGGATTGTAGTGTGAAAAACCAATAAGTGTTTAACATGAATAAATCTAATCTAACCGAAAAGATAAGTAATATATAATCAAGAATGATAGAAAGACTATTGTAAACAAGACTGGTAGCAATAGATAGAATAACTTGCCAGCATAACTGTTGATTCAGATTGCTTCTACCAGCTTCAGTTGGACTTCATTTGATGGTATATATCTCCTAAAAAGGCATAATAGTCAATGCAGATTTCTTTCTGTTAATCAATAAATCCCCGAGGACCAGCGGCATAGCGCACCGCCACTCTACCCTATTCCATTTAAATATACCAAGCTTATGTCTGCAGCATAGTTCAAAACGTGACGTGCACCTAATCCACACACCACGATTTAAGCTGATTTTTCTTGAGGAGCAACATTTGCAAGTTCCAATAATTCATAACAAAGATTTAAATAAGGGACTTCGTGATAACATAAAAATAAAATGGCAAGGAATGCTCAAATTAAAAAGTCAATAAGATGCATTAACACAACTCATACATAAATTCAGAACCTAAATAAATATTCAAAGGTACTTAGAAGACATAAAAAGAAATTTTCTGAAACATGTGAAGACACAACTGCTGTTTTGTTTTCTTCTTTGATACTTTACCTGCTTTAGAAGGACAAGATAGGAATTACCTTAATTGTGGTAGCATCAGAGCATGAAGTCAGCAAATGAACCTGAGGGTTCCCACTTGATAGCATTGAGTTGATTCTGCAATGGCAAAGTTAACAACTTTTTAAATATATTTTGCAGATCATATGCATTCTATGTAACGAGATCCAAAGTCTGTAGAAACTAGAAATTTTCATCCATATCAGTACTATTTTGCATTTCTTAGTTATTATTGATTAGTTTAGAGTTATCAAAAGAGTTAAACCTCAAATACAAAAATCAGAATGTCAAAATGTTTGCATAACATTTCTCCATTTTGTTTCTAGTTCAAGATATCGAATACCCTTTTGCACAAAGGTAACAAGAGCACCAGGAGGAAGTAGAATTCCTTTCATTGTGCTCTTATGTGAGAATTGTTATATTCCCTTTGTGCACTAGGAGGAAGTAGATTTCCATTCTCTCGGTGCTTTTGTTACCTATGTGCCAAAGGGTATTGAATATCTTGAACTAGAAACAAATTGGAGCAATGTAATGCAACCATTTTGATATTCTAATTTTTGTATCTGAAGTTTAGTTCTTTTGATAATGTTGAACTAACCAACAATAACTAAAGAATGTAGGATGAAACCGATATGGATGAAGACTTCAAGTTTCTACAACCTTTGGATCTCATTACAAAGAATGTGTATGAGCTGCAAAATATAATAAAAGAGAAAAGAAAAACTTCGGAAAGATGAACCTAGCCTGAAGGATAAGGCAAATGATGACAACGAGAGGGACCAAAAATGAGAATCTGCAAGAGAAAAGGAGAAACAATATAAGGAAAAAGAATGTGAACGGGATAAAGAAAGGAGTGAAAACAGCAACTTAAGTTCTGTCTTGAGTCAAGCACCATTCTAGTCTCTCCCCACCCCACTTATGGGATTACATCGGGTATGTTGTTATTGTAGGGGTTAATATTCCTTTTTGGTCATATTCTATGATGATTAACAATTAGATTCCTTATTCAAATTAGGAGATTCTTTGATGATCAACAATTTAAGACAAGCCAATTTCTCTATAGTCATTCTTTTTAATCATTGAAATATATTCCATTCGCAATTGTTGCATTCTTGATAGACGTAATCAATGAATCTTTTAAGAAATATTGGAAAGTTAGAAAGAATAGGAATTCTAATGTTTCTAGTATAGCCTATTTGGCTAAAGGCTTCTGTGAGGCTAAAAGCACAAAAAACACTCTTTTGTACATTCGAGGTGTGGCCAAAAGAGAAGTCATTTTGAGCACATACAACACAAAACACAGATTTTTTTCTCCGAAAGTACTTTTTTATAATAAATGATTTAATTTGAAGAACATAAGTTATTTGCATCCATAACCATGAGAGACGGTTTCTGATAAACCCTTGGCTCACAAAAAGCTTATGCACTAGAATTGTTTCAGAAAAATGTTAACTTGGCAGAATTAAACTCGTCTAACAACAACAACATACCCAAACCTTACCCATAACTTGTGAAAGTAGAGAATCTTGTTTCCAACACACTCTCGAATCAAGTAAAGCATATCAAAGAAATTAAACTCATCTAGTAGAAATACAACATCAAATTCTCCACATAAAACTCTAAAACAAGTATGAACAACGATTTGATTAACCCTAAAAGATAGTACGAAGGAACAAATTAGGAAGAGGAAAATTGATTTACCTGATTCATGTAGGCACTAGAAACAATGTAATTCAGGTCATCGGAGCTTGCTATGAATTGTCAACGGAGAGAAGTAAACCCTAGGGACTACTTCTACCTCTGATATATATATAGAGGGAAATAGAGGGAAGATATGGTAAGTGAGAATTTTGGGGCACAAACATTTATTTATCATACTTAGAATATTAGAAAGGTTTTCACTTTTCATTCAAAGAAGGCATTTCGAAAATAAGTTTTACTGTTGAATGACTAAACTATCCTCAAGGCTTTAGCTATATCAATTTGAGCTCAATTTTATCTAAAATGTAGAAGTTAGATTTGGAATTTAAACGACATGTTTAAATTTGGTAGTATATCACAAGACATTTAATTTAATGGATTTGAAATTTATTTTTAAAAAATTGTTAATTAATTAGTATGGGTTGTGGATGCATGCCAGAATCCATACGGATAGAACACAGTCTTTTACATGCAATGTTTAATATTAATGTTTTATACTTGATATTCATTTACAAGACCTAAATGGTAATTTTTAGAAGTTACATTTTTAAAGACCTAAATCCTAAAAGTACATTTTAATTTGTTGGTATTTTAGGTCTTGAAGTTACAATAAATAAATCCTAATTTGTTAGAAGTTATATTTTTTCCATACTTGAACCCTAATTTTATTAGTACATATATTTTCTTCAAGTTCATTTTATTGATGTTTTAGGTCTTGAAGTTACAAAAGATCTTAACCATAATTGTTTACAAGTTACAGTTTTTCAAGACCTAAACTCTAATTTTTATTAGTACACACATTTTTTTAAAAGTTCATTTTAATTTATTGGTGTTTTAGGTCTTGAAGTCGTTACAATACGTAAACCCTAAATTTTAAAAAGTTATAATTTTTCAAAACCTAATCACTAATTCTATTAGTATGTACATTTTATCAAGATCTAAACCCTAATTTTATTAGTACGTATATTTTTTAGAGTTCATCGTGTTTGTATTTA